TGGTGGACCCTGTAGTTTAATAATAAGAGAAGGCCATTTTATTTTAAATTGAGACCCATCATTTGTTTGGGGGAAAAAATGGCATATATACTTTATCCCAGCATACCTCAGAGGTAAAGGGGTATGTTAATGAGGATTTATGATATGAAGCACACATACAGGTATACACACACACACACATGGACTTCTCTGAAGCTGTGTTTAGTGACATGAGCAGAAACCTCAACCACATGAATGCTAGTTGTTATGTTAACACAGCAAATTCCTCTTTTTTTTTTTTTTTTCTTTTCTATGAGCACACACTGCTCCTTCCAGGCTGTATCACGCCTAATGGCCCCTTTCCCCACTCTAGCAGCCTCCAGTGTTTTGATTTTTGCTTCCAGTCTAAGTCAGCAGCCTCGGCCATCACCCTCCTGGTCCCTAGACAGCAGCTCCTTTGTGGAACCATGGCCAGCGTTCCTCAGCTGAGCTGCATCAGACACGAAGCCATTCCCACATGTGGTTCTGTGGGGAATAAGAGGAGGTGGGCACCCAGCCCTGCTGCTGTGTTCCTGCCCCATGAATCCATCAAGCCGTGTAGACAGGTAGCATTTGCAAAATATCCCCAATTATATTATAGATCCTCTTGAACTGCAATACATGGAAATAACTTGGCTCAAACAGCAGCTTGCTTTGTGTGATCAAAATGAAGCATTAAGATGGTTCAATTGTGTGACTTAGAGATCACCTAGTGGTTTTGAGGCTTTTCTTTCATAAAAAGAGGTTCTAACTATTATTTGGGAACAAAGATAGTTTTCATCTTTTCTCAGATCAAAACTATTTTGTAAAATCTTTGTTTAGTTACATGTGCCCTTATTTACCCATGAAGTTATTTATGACTGTATCCTGGTTCCTTCTCTCGCTGTTGACTTTTGGCTGATAATAATGAGTCCATTTGGTTTAAATGCTTTTGACTGCGCTGTTAACTGCTGCCATCCGTATATATACTCCAAAGATCTTTTTGTTTTGGCTTTAGGATCATACATGCTTTGTTTCTGTATCATGGTTATTGAAAGCTTTGTATACATTGTTGTTTCTGCTGGTCTCAGCCCTAACAATCTCATCTTTGGGTGTACTGTGCTGTACCCCCTGCTGCCCTCACTGCCCCTTAACTGCAGAGCCGGATTAGCTAGCGACCATTGATGCTGTTGTCTGTCTGATGGAGACAGAATGGCCTGATGTTGGGTTTAGATTCTTCCTGGGGATTGTACAGCTATGAATGTATTTGCCGCCAGGACCTCCCAAAGTGAATCTAATTTTAAAATTATAAGTTGTAAGTATTCTGAAACTGGGAAATATTTATTTTAAATGAAATCAAGTAGTGTTGCTTTTTACAGCGTAATAAATACATGTATCAAAAAAAACCCTGTGGAAAAATGATTTTTTTTTTTTTAAAAACTAAGGTTTTTCTCACGTCACTGGGTTGGAAACTCCACTGAGCACAGGGATCGTGTAGAGTTGGTTCAAATCCACTTCTAATGCCTGCTGTGAGCCAGGTACCATGCAAGGTGTCAGGCGGGGTTACCACAATGACTAAAGTGAGAATCCCATGTGGAATTCATCCTCGAAGGTGAGAAGATGGGCAGGCACGTTTCTAGCCCCTCAAAGTTAACACTGTCCTTTCACAGTTGCTCAGTAAATATTTGCGGAATGGAATCATTAAACACTCCTTCGCTAGGAGGTATTCTGACCTCCTTTAAAGAGAACAGAGGTCATTCTCACAATGCCTTGACCTGTATTCGGGGAGCTGAACCTACTGCCGCCACACTAGGGTCTGAGGAGGACTAGCTGAGCTGGTCAACTGCAGCTCCAGACTGGTTCATGGGGATGTGGAGTGGCATTTGCTTCCAATGCAGGAAACCCCTGGTCCCCTAATTTAGGGTTAATGTATGGTTTTCTAACCACAGAGAACTTATGTGAACACCATGGCTGTCCAGTTTCAGCTATCAAAGTCATTTGTCACAAAGGAATGTGCTTCATTATAGCAAACAGCCTAATCTGTCTGCACTGCTGACTGCTGACATTTTAGAACTGGAAGAGACACCAGAAATTTCTAATCTAATCCCACTCTTTCACAGATGAAGCTGAGGCCAGAGTGGGCTGTGGTACAGAACCAAGCCCATGTTCTTTGCCTACATCCCACCACAGTGCACACTAGGGATAGGATATTTCCCAGTTTAGCTACTTGCAAATTAGCTCAAGTCTGGGCTCTGCAGAGTTTTGAAGAGAAGCATAAATGTCACAATGTTATGCCTTGCCACATGCGGTCAAGTTGGGCTATGCATATGCACATCTGCAGACAGAACCGTGGCATCAGCACAGGGGAAACACGTGGAGGAATAATCCCATATTGTGAAAAATGAAATTATACTTGTTCTTGATGTCACATGATCATTCTATGTTTGTGGGATTTTGGGGGGGGGGGCTCAGATAATCTTCCTAATTTCACTTTCTAACCCTCATAGTAAATTGAGTACATTTGTAAATCATAGACCAGATGGCCCAAGGCAGTAGCCCATGAATGTGTTAGGTGGCATTTAAAACAAAGGCTTTGGGGGGAAGGAGTATTTTATAGCTATGAATGGAAAGGATGTGATTTACTAGATGACTACGGGAGGTATGTGTGTTTGGGAATGGGAAGGCTTAGAAAAAATGAAGTCAGTTATTAAAAGGGGGCAAATACTGGGCGTCTCATTTCTATTCTGGAGCCTGAACCTGACTGCAGGCCTCCGGGTGCCCCAGGCTTGTCCCTTGCTATCTGTGCAAATAGTGAAGAGTCTACTAGGAAGGGAGTCTGACAAGCAGTCACAACAGCAAAAGAACATCGAGCCTGCTTCGTTTGTGTACAAGAAATGGGGAAAGGCTGCAAACCGACACCGACACTCGGGTATATATGTAAAGTGGTATAACAGCATTAAGAAATATAGAATTTACATAGTTTGATAATAGGTATTTGACTGCTTCCTGTCAAAGGGATCTTTTAGGAACCTTTATGTTCTTTGTATACACAATATAAATTTAATAAATAAGTTTAAAGCTGCTTAAGTATGGTTCTTTTTTTCAGTTGGTTAAACAAGTTGTTTAATTTGTCAGTTTAGCAAACACAAAAGCTGGTTAGCTCACCAAAACTTGGAAGCTGACTATTATTAAGTCAGTATCACTTAAGAGCTATATAAACTCATCTTAGAAGGTTCCAAAACAAGATAACCTTTAAACTTCCTAAAATTGCTCTAAATGCTATTTCTTTGAAATTGTGTATTTATTTGTATAACATTTAAATTTTTGTAGCTTTTGGTTATGTTTGCTTCACAAAATCTTAAGTTTTAATAAGACAATAAGTACGAGAACATATGATCCAGTATCTCACAATACCTGAAGTTCCACAAAAGTAGGTATCTGTGTCTGTTTTTGTTTCCCAATGTTTCCCAAACATCTAGAATAGTGCCTGGCTCATGGCAGGTGCTCACTGTACAATAAGTCTAATGTAATAATAAATGAATGAATGACCAAAAGACGCCATTCAAGCAAATACCCCTGACTTTGTGCACAGCATCCTAGTTTAAAAGGTAAGTCTCAGAATTTTGAAAACAATTTCTAGTTTTGTCCTGTTTTCCCTGGGATAGTTAAATGTAAAAGGAATGCTTTGTTCCTTGAGACTTAATATTCCACTTAGGCATATACTCAGTAAACAGATTTTGCTCTTTTAAAGCTGATAGTGAAATCTACTTAATGCCATCTCAGAAAACTCTCTTTGCTAAGTAAGGAGAAATTGCTCCCAAATATTACATATAAGCTCTATGCTTGTGAAACACCATATAAGAAATACTCCTAAAACATACCAGCATCCCTAAGCCAGGATGTATTTAATGACTTCTTATAATGATCAAGTATATAAGAATACAAACTTCCACTGGCTAGCCAGGCCATTATCTACTTTACTCCCTGGAGAAATGCAGTTGTCCATGCTCATTATGAAGAAACTGTGTTTCCTAGATGTAAATACTGCAGATATGGAGATGAGAATGATCACATTTATAATGATATCAGAATTCAGCCACTATTCCCTGATAACTCTTCAGACAACAGTTAAATCTAACTTGCCAGATTCATGTCTAACTTGGTGATTATGTCTTTTCTCATACTATGTTTTTCTAGCAAATGGTGCCTTTTTCTTTGAGAAGGTAGTGGCTTTCTAGCTTATAACACTTTTGGAGGAAAATGGCACCTTTTTGTGTGGGTGCAATAATTTCTCAGTAACATCTATCTAATCATGGAGGTGGACATTTTAGATGGCCACTTTGGAGACAAGACAGTCCCATTTTACATATATTTTAAAACTAAAAACTTACATTAGCAGTACTGGAATTCATTGTAAAATAAATGCCAAATTATTTGTGAATTTGGAGGCAGCTGCAGTCACCAAGGCCAAAGGACCAAAGTACTTTTTTTTTTTGCTTTTGATGGCACTCATTACAGCTTGTTCCAATAATGTTTCCACTCTGATCTCTTCCACTGACCTATATTAATCTGCAACAGCAATTCTGGTGATAAGCAGGGTAAGAAAGGGCAACACTTAGGGATATGGTGTTATTATTAATCTTATTGTAAAGGAAGGACTGACATGTTTATGTTTAATCATAAATTTAAAAAATGAGAAAAACACCAAACCTATACATAATGCCAGTAACTTTTAACATCTTTATACCAAATGCTATTAAGAAGAGACTAACAGCATTTGAATACTTCTGAAAAGTAAACAAAGTCTCTTGGCTAGTGCAGTAAAATGAAACTGTGCCAAGTCATTCTCAAAGGGCAAAAATATACCAAATAAACACCAGCAATCAGAAACAGTATTTTGTTAATGTTGTCTAATTTGTCCCTTCATCGTTTCAATTTCAAAAGTCAACGCAAACCCAGTAAGGTTCATGCCATCATATGTAAAAACTGAGAGGAGGCCTTAATTTGTGTTCAGCACAAAGTACCATGTGCGTATTATATTTAATGCAATACACATATGTTAGCTTTAATTTTAAAATAGACTTCAAGAAAACTTTATCCCCCACCAGAAAAATATGGCATTTACACAGTAATATCATAGTGGTGGTGACAGTGGGAAAATAAGATGCAGCCACAAAGACAACAGTCTGAAAGTTATGTGGAAGAACCCTGTCGAGGCCATCCCCCTAAACCACTTTTCTGTGTCAGTCCTAATGAAGGAAGGAGGTAAGTAACAACACACTACACAAAACACCATCCAGTCAAAAAGGGGTCTAGAAAAAGCACAGGAGTGATAATGCAACAATTTGTAAGTGTATTTGTCAGAGAAACACATTTATAAGTGAAATAGATGCAATTCCCAATACAGTTACACAGGATGAGCTTTCAAATTATTTGATTCTTGTATTATTTCTGGTTAATGACTTGTCAGTTACTATTTTTTCTTCTCAATTTGAAAATCTTATGACTAGACTAAATACCAGCTAATAACAAGACAAATTAACCCATTTAAGAAATTTTGAGTATATCTACATGTATGATTAATTTCAACTTTTTGAAAAATAGGATTTGCCTTGAGAGAGCTGTCATTAATAGACTGGCTCCCTTTATAGAACTAAGAAGACAATTTCATTTACTAGGGACCATGATGAGGCAAAATATATTCAGCCTTGAATATTAAAGTTTAAACAAAATACTACTCCTAAATTTGGAAAATGTACTTCCTTCTATTGATATTTGCCAGTATCATAAAGCCATAACAAACAGAAAAGCTAATTCTCCTGAGACAGAATTTAGCTTTACATGGCCACGGTAGAAGATATAATAAAATACAGAATACAACTTTTATCCCCTGCCCAAAACAGGATGGCTACCTTTGATAAAGAGTTGGTCTAGTTCTAGAGAAACGCAGCTTTGAACTATTTCACAGGTAAACCAATGGAAAACTTCCAGCCATATTTAAAACAGAGGGAACAAATAAGGATTCTCCAGAACAGAAATTTGCCAATCCTACACCTCAACAAGTTCTCTAAATAACCAAATAATCTATCCACCAGCCTAGGAACAGTTGGGCATTGACTTTATACAGAGCACTTGCTAGATGCTGCTGACCGTCTGACCTTTCCTAAAGCACTCTCATTCTAGCAGTCCTGTGGTTTTGGGTATTGGGTAGATCTGGATGTGTTTCATTTGCAAAACCCACTCTGTGCAGAGAGCCTTTCAATTTTACCTTTAATTAGATGCGTGAAACCCTCCAGAGTAACAGACGTTTCTGAATTAGGGAAAAATCCACTTGCTGTCAACAGGTTGCAGCAAATTTGTTGGCCTTTCATTTCCTAAAAGCATAGGATGTGAAGGAACAGGACAGCAGGAGGGAATCACAGGGAAGGAAAGATGTCGCCAGAGAGGAGTAGAAAAATTCATGCTCTATACTGTGTTCATCTGCAAAAAGATAAAAGGCGGTTAAGTTTATTACACCGGTCTTGTAATATGCAGTACATATATTAAACACTGCTTGTCTGCTCAACAGTGGAGTAGTAAGACGACACTTCCAACAGCAAATAACCATGGAATCAGAGGGCCTCAGCATGGGCCATCATTTTTCCTGGACTAATCGAGACCTTTTATATCCTCTAAGCTGCTGGATTATTACTCTGCAGCCTGCTGGCTTAGTTCTGTCAATTCATCCAGGCTGCAAAAAACTTCGTGCTGTTACGCACGTCTGGGGACAGAGCAACGTGGCAAGTCTGCTCATGCAAAACAAGGGCGAGGCAATGCTGAGCTGTATGCCAGATGGAGAGAGATGTGGGCGAGATGATGAATTTTCCTTTAAAGGCCACTCACTCAGTAGGAATACTAACTGTCTTTTAGGCACGGCTGGAGAAGCGGAATCACTAGGAATCCCCAGCAGGGCCTCCTGCCCAACTGCCTGGAACAGGGCACCTTGGAGGCAATGAACTGCTCAGAGAAGAACACCAGCCTGCGCTGACTTCCTACCGCACTGCCATGCGGGACTCTCCCTTCAGACCAGGTGCTCCTGACCAGGGGGGATTCTGTCCCCCGGCAGTCATGACTGGGTGTGGGGACATGTGTGCTACTGGCATCTAGTGAGTAGAGGCCAGAGATGCTGCTGAACATTCTACAATGCCCAGGACAGTCCCCCACAACAGAGAATTATTCAGTCCCAAAGACCAACAGAAACACAGCACTTGACAAGCCTCTTGAGAACTGAGTCCGTTTTTCTTAATCCCAAGTACTCAATAGTGGATGGTGCACAGTAGGCTCTTAGGAAAATTCTTTACGATTAAAAGCACAATGAAGTTTTGCCCTTGTGTTTCAGTGTGGCTGACACTAAAAATGTGTGGTTAAGATGGTGGACTTGGAGCAGGAGAGGGAGAGAGAAAGCCTGGATGCAAATCGTATCATGATCTCTCAGCAGCTGTGATAATGGAACATGAACTAACCTCTGTAAACCACAAGGTCCTCATCTATTCAAAGGAGGCTAATAGTACTTAGCCAAGAGATCTATTGAAAGGATTGTTAGTTAACGTATGTTGAATGCCTAGTATGGTAGATGGAAAATAGTACACAATTAATAAATGTTCCTATTATCAGCTTTGACTAAAGACCTCTAGGAGAGTAAACTGGTTTTCCTATTATTCCAGAGGAAAAAGTTGGCCGTACAGGAAATCCAGACTAAACAAATCCTCAAGTCACGCTGCAGAAAACACTGGTGCTCTGTCTTTCTCGGGCAATTTTCTCAGGAGCGTGTAGCCCTCCTGAGGTGGCACCAGGCGTGGGCCTCACAGCCACCCTAGTCCAGAGCCGCAACCTCCAGACATGGCTGAAGCCAGCCAGTTCTGTGACAGGTTATTCTATGTCGGAGCATATGCCCTAATTCCAAGAGTGGATGTTAAAGGCAAATCATGGCCAAGGTTGAGGACAGTCAAGGTGGAGTCCACCCAATTAGGAGACTAATCCAACTTCTAATTTATCTAACCAGCACCGTCCCCATATTATGGCCTCTTTTAGCTCTTTAAGACTCCTGTGGCTTTAATCTGGAGGAGGGTGTGTGTGTGTAAAATTTTATTTTATTTTATTCTACAAATGAAATGAAATCATCTGGAATAGAATGGAATGGCTACGGGGGCATCCAGAGACCCAAAACCATTTCCTGGCATTTATTCAGAGTATTTAAACTGCTCTCACAGCATCATTCTGAGAGCACAGAAAAAGCAATCACACTGCTTGCACAGATGGAGGGAACTAATCCATCTTATTTTCTCAAGGTCACAAGGAATAATGGTGATGACAGACTTAAAACTCTGATGTCCAAATCTCAAACACAGGCCTCTAAAGGCCACAATGCCTGGGTCATAATAAACCAGAATAAAACACATTCAGTTCGTGCGAAGAGCCTCTCTAGGGTGCATGTTTTGAATAATGTAAAGATCAGCTTTCTCTGGGAAGCAACCCAGGAGAGTGGACAAGTGCAGGCACTCTAGAGACACACTGAGTGGCTTCAAATATTCATTCCATCGCTTACTGTTTGATCTTAGACAAGTTATATAATTTTTTTGGGGGGGGGGGCTCTTTTCCACACCTGTAAAAATGGGAATAACAGTAATACCTAACTTAGAAGGCTGTTGTGAGGGCTGACTAAGTTACCACCTGTGGAATGCCTGATACACACAGTAAGGGCTTAATAAATGTCCTCTATTAATGGTGGTGATGATCGTGATGAGGTAACTTGCTCAGGAATAACAAGGGAGTTGTAAAAGAAGCAGCCCATTTTTTGGTTCCATCCATCTATCTTACATATCCTGAATAGGCTTTATAGTTATGCCATTTTTGTGTCGGGCTTATAAACATCACTTTGTAGCAGAGTTGGGGGCCACATGCTAGCAGAGGATGTGACCTTACCCATATAAGAGGTTCATTCTACATCTGTTAATAGGGACAGAACTATTTTGCTATTATACCATCTAAGCATTTTTCTAAGTGACGTTTTTCGTCCTCAACAATCATTCAGGTCTAAGAAAGGACATGCTCTGAAAATTTTAGCTCGTGCTTCTTCGAGGAAAAAGGACAAAGAAAAAAGTTACATACCAGAAACTTGACTGTAAGCGGATACTACTGATGTCATATAAATGCATCCCCTGAACGCCCAGTTCTGTGCCCCTAAATGTTTGAAGAGCAGCCCCTCCCCCATCTCCTTTTTCTTCCCTGTCTTCCTCTCTCATTACCAAGCACTAATCTGTGCCAGGCACCACATTACTGTACATAGTAATGAAGAAAGGCCAGTAATGACTCAAAAAGGTGTTTTTTTAAGCATTATACAATTTTTTTTTAAAATCTACTGGAATTGCTACATGTGGAAAAGAGCTTAAACAGCATCAGCAAAAATCGAGCCAACCAAAAAGAAAAAAATCTTTAAGAGGAAGGATTTCAAGCTGACAGACGAATAATATTATTGGATATACTGAAAAACATTCTCCCAAAGGAAGATTCACTCTTTTGTAGACAATGTTGTTCCTATTTCTAGCAGGACACTCATTAACTGTTTCACTCCGGGAACTTTATAACTCTTGGCAAGTCCCTCACAGCTCCAGGTGCTAGCAGTACAAATTATTCTCAAACACAAAGCAGGTGAAATTGCTTCATTGCTGCTAGCTGAGTCTCTATATAATTATTGTAATTACCAAGCATTAGTCCCTTCCCTTCCTAAAAATAACACTCCTTCACCCAGACACAGCATTGAAATAACAGGACAAAAGAAAACACTTCCTTATCAGAGAAATCTTAGTTCCTTAATAGTATGAAATTTCTACACGGACAACGTCAAAGGGAAAAGAGGGAACTTTTAAATACTTGAAATGTCACTTATTTTTTGTAGGGTACTGAATGACGGGAATAAAAATCCTGGTGATGATGTAGCTTGTTTAGGCACAGCAGGCTCCAACTTGTCATGGCTAATCCAAAAACCTCCTTCTTGGTTCTACCAGCGGTGCCTTCTGGTATCTTGCAGACAGACCCAGGGTGGGCCACGGTTGGGCAGGGTGCCCCCGCCCCCAGGGTGCCCCCCNCCCCCGCCCCTGCCTCAGAGAGCACACAGCGCAAGCTGAGAACACTCCAGTGTGGTACTCACCATAGTATCGAATTCTACAGCGCCCACTATCCGAGACACCTCATCAAACTCCTCAGGAGACATGGGGAGAAGGTTGTCTGTGGTCTGAAGTCGAGAAGGGTGGCTAAAATGGGGAGAAAAGAAAAGGAAATATTGACATCTAGATGATGACAGCGGTGGCTCAAATGTAAGACATTTCACCTTTGGCCTGTGATTGAATCATCACATTATATTTTTATTTCAGGAATGTGGGTACACTTGTAAAATACATTTTAAAAAGTACAGATCACGGGAGGTTCCTGTCCCCAGCCCGGCCCCTTGGGAAATGTACTGGACTCTAGAGATGTGATCGAGACATAGCCAGACGAGAACCTGTGCCGCTTCTGCCTGGTCAACCCTGGGTGCGAGTGTGTGCGGTGTGTCACCCTGAGATGCCAATGCCTCGGGGCTTACCCTGGCCCGAGAAGCACCAGAGAAATGTCTGGGGAGTCCCTCATCCCTACCTTGAGGTGTGTATGCAGATAAAGCTGCTCCAGAGTGTTTTTACATGAAGGCTACATCCATTCACCCCAAGACAGTGCTGCGGGCCAAATAACTGAAAATGACTTTTCCAAATTTTTTTCTACCTTTTATAAAATGAAACAACAAAATAAAAGCAAGCGGAAATAAATGTATCTCAATCATTAGTTTGGCCTTTTCTAGATTGAAAAGAACTACTTTCCCACTCTGATTGGTTTTTGTTCATTTTATTCACATTTTTTCAAAGTCAGTTTGGGGAGCAATTATATACCTTAAATACAACTTTGGTTTTTTTTTGTTGTTGTTATTTTGTTTTTTTGTTTTTTGTTTGTTTTTTTTTTAATAAAGGCAGTAAAATGCTGAGAGGCAATGACGCCAGGATCTCTAATTAGGATCTTTCCAACAGGTCCAACTGTGATGGCGGCGGCAGCAATTACAAGGGGAAAGCAGAGGGCAAGCATCTCCAACAGGCCCCAGCCAGGAGCGGGGCTGGCTCGAGGCTTTTAAACATGGCACTCTTCTGTGTTCACTTACACTTCAGACACAGAAATCAACTCAGTCTTGATGTATCCGGTTCCTTTAGGGCCATCAAGTTCCATCGGTTCTGGTGCTAGAAACAAACACATTGTGTACACTTTCCATTAGCAGAAACTACAACAAGGCAATCAACTTGCTCGTTGATCAAAATTTTGCTGTTTTTCTTGGTAGTCAGGGTAGGGTCCTGTAACTTTCAGGGGTTATCACCACCCCCTGCCTGAGTCACCTGAAATTCTGGTGGGAATGCAGAAATAATTAAAAGAGGGGGAAGAGTTCAGCAGCAAAGTCAAGCTGAGTGGTTTCTCTTTCCAAGGCTTGAGATCCTACAGAAGTTGGAGCCCAAAATATATGAAGTTATATCTGGTGTAGTGGTCCTGGCCTGTACTTCTCCTTGGCCTCAGTTTTCTCAATTTTAATAGGAGCAGGCTGGCATATGTCAGTTGGGCATGGTGGTCCTACCTTTTACCCCTTTCCATGTAGAAAAAGTAATAATGTAACAAATACATAAGGCCAGGAATAAACTTTTCCAACACCCCTAACATAAGACATCCTTTACTCATTTCTTACTAGCTGTATCAGGCCAAATAACGCATCATGTTTCAACTGCATGTGTTTCTACCATTTTTTCAAAGCCTTCTTTTACTAATTTGAAAGAAAGTGGTGGGTTGATGACACAGCATGGGTGGGGTTTGTGCTGGCATCTTGTACTTGTAGGAAGGCAAGGGGAGTGTGTGTGATTAAACCCTGTCTCCAGAAAACCTTTGGACAATGATAAAATGAGAACATAATCACCACTTACCTTCCTTTGGCCTGGAGTAATACTTTCCAAAGGCATGGTCTTTATCAATATTTGGATACAGATACTTCAGGGGATTCTCTGGAATATTTTCAGCAGCCATGACTTTGTAATTGCGAATAATATCCGGGAAAGTAACAGCAGAAAGCTCTTTCTTTGTGTAGGGTTCAACCGCATGGAAGTAAGGTTCTAAAGGAAGAAAAGCAAAGTGAGTCCCATAGAATATTGCAAAACAGTAAAGGAGAGAAACAAAACACTGCAGAGCTGATGGATTTGAGAGAACCTGGTAAGAACTAATCACAATGATGGACTTAAAACACATAACTGTTTTGTTTCTAAATATAGTCCTTTCTTAAAAACAGGAAAAATAAAGGCAGACGTTACTATCAATAACATTGCTTGTCATTATTGCCTTAGATTTGTAAATCGAGCCAAAAGTTTATCAAACACCTTTAAAAGCATGCATCTTCAATGCTGTGCTGCCCACAAGCAGATAAACAACTAATTACTAATTAGGTCATCTTGGCTCAAGCCAGAGATTAAGTTACTAAAATATAAGCTCACTTTGTTTTCCTTTTCATATTGAAAAGTCTAATTTTTTATTAAAATAAACAATGACAATACATGGAAAATAACTTTTAAAACAAACGAAAAAGATCTCACTTGCTAATTTTTTCTCTAATTTTTACAGTTTAATTAACTCTGTGTCTTATTCCCAGACCTCATGCAAATTGTGCATCCTTCAGTGATTGGGGAGCTCATTTTTGGGAGCACACACCCGAGGCTGCTGTTCAGGTGCTCTGGGGACTCTGCCCTAGACCTTCAGACAACGTAGACATCCTAAAGCTTTGTAGCCAGCGCTGACCTGCTTAAACTTTCTGGTTGCCAAGGTTTCTTCCTCTTTGCCTGGTTGGCCAGCTCCATCTCTCAGCTAGTTCAGGAAAGAACTACTGCTAGTTCAGTGAAGACGACAAGGGCAGTCTCTAATGCCTACTGTCTATACTGGCTCTAACCCCAGCTCTCCTGGTTTTTTAAGGGGAAAAAAAAACTAAAAAGAACAAGAACATTATCCCATCTTTTTGCATATTTCAACTGAAAGCATAAATGTCACTGGAATACATCAGTCTTTCCTCCAGTCCTTCAAACAGAGCAAAGTACAAGCAATAGTGAAAAGAAACCAGTTTGTCTTTATTGTTCTCTCATTTCCACTGTTTGGCCTCATCCCCAGAAACCGGTTTCATATTGCTAAGGTTTTAGAAATATTTTTAGCCATGGATTCATTTTTAAATAGAAACCCAAGATATCACGAAGATAAACTTGCAACTGCTGTTTGAAGACAGGGTGGAGGGCTGCACCCAGGCCTCAGAACCCCTCTCGGAGAGCCTGCCCGAATCTGCCCTTCCGTTCGGGATTTCCCTCAGTGAGGCTGGAAGCTTATGCTTCTGCACATTGGGCTTCCTCCCAAGAACTGGTTGTCAGTCACACTGACTCACATCTTTTGTCTGCAGATAACCAACCAGAAAAAGGAAAGAATCTGGCCTTGTCATTTGAAAACCATCATTTGCACAATACGTTCCAGGAACGAATCACAAACATTCACGGAGATGTATTAAATCCTATCTGAGAGGCTCAGCTGGGGGTAATAAGTACAGGATCTGTGATTTTATGTCAAAAACTCATTATTTGTACGAGTTGATGTGCAGTGATGAAGAAGGACTTTCGCACACACGGTATGAATCGGTTGTGTGTGCAGGCGCCTTCACTTACCGCCTCCGTTCTGGGAGCGCTCCACCCACGTGAACGTGATGGCGCCTTCCCGGCAGCTCTCACTGAACCGCAGCAGGAACGTCCCAGGCTGCTGGTCCTTTAACAGGGCGCGTTCACGTTCCTTGCTGATGAAGCCCATGATACACCTGAATGTGGAAAGGGATGGAGAGAGGTCTTTTGAGGTTCAGTCATGATTTTAATTTTCACGTTAACTTACAAATCAAGATGACTAGAACTTGAACACAGCATAAAAATGGATAAACTTTTAAATGTTTTAAAATTGATTCAATTGATACTTCAGGAAGCATTTTACTTATACGTACATATGCTGAAGTCCAAAAACAATCATTAACATGGTGCCAGTAAAATGCTACAGATGATAAATACTTGCTGGATTACTGAGCCTTTTCTTTTCACTTGGTGATTATGAAGGCCAAGAAAATGTCTGAATTTTTGCATCTTTTACACTGGAGAGGAAGGCTCAACGATACATTTTCATATTCTAGCACTTCCGGTCAAGTTAAAGCCTTTGTTAAAATATCAACTAACCCAGAGAATAAGTTAGATAGAAACAATTCACTGAGTTAAAGTTTTTTCTTCCTCCCTTGAAGCAACAGAGTAGGTGCTCAAGAAACTTTTGTGGAAGGAATGAATGTATGAATGGCATTCAGTTTTTCAAATTTAGCTGTGAAATTACACATACATATGCTATGAAACTATAAGTTTAATCTGCTGAGGTTCGATTAACGTGAAGCTCTGAAGGGGCAGCCTGTAACCCTCCGTTTCTGTGAGATGCACACAAGTCTTGGCAAATAATGAAATCTGTCTGGGTCAGGGCTGTCTTAGCCATGCAATAAGGGAGTTATGTGCTAAATGAATGTTTCAAAATTACATCTATCAATAGTCCTTACCCATCATTCCAGAGAGAGAGCAGGTGTTTTTTAATGAGTTCAAGGATGCTTTCGATCCAAAGCCAGAAAGAAAAATTTTTATCATTTATATTTTCCTGCAAGTAAATAAGTGCACACATTAAGAACAAGAAAATCCAAAATAATAGGGGCTTACCATGCCTCCTCCCACCATCGAATTTTAATTTGCAAAGACTACCCAGCTATCAGAGCCAGAGCTGTCCTGCACAGAGCAGTCCCTCCCCTCGTATTGCCCATCCAGACACCAAGCTCTCCGTTTCCTGGGCTGCCTCCGCTTCCCTCTCCAAACAGTAGCGAGCCAGCCAGGGAATGACCTCCAGGGTGAACCAGAAAACAAAAGCTGCCGTCGCACTAGTCAATTCCAGTAGCGCAAAGCTCATCAACACTGTCTGGTGACCTCAGCGGGGTCTAATTTTTCCTTCTGACCGGTCCCTCTCTGCTGGAGCTGGCTGGGGGAATGCATTTGCCTGCCAGGCTGCCCACACCAGCACAGAGCACACATTTCTCATGGACGGATGGGGCGAAAATGCTGCCAAAGGGGGCCAGTGTGAGCAAACAGAAGACTCATTTCGGATATGAAAGAATGTTATCACCCAGGCAGGCGCTTCCTGTCAGACTCGCACTTGGAGACCAACCTCCAGTGCTGAAGGAAAGTAAACAACTTGCCCTAGGGGTTCCATGGATGAGCCTGCCAAAATAAGCACACAGTGAAGGAACCACCACACTGAGAAACACGAGAACCTCAGCAGAGAGTGAAAAAGGCTCAGAGAGTATAAAACCCAGACAGGACCCACCTTACAGAACCGCGTCCATGGAATAAGACCTTCGGGGCCAGCATTAGGACCTAAACAAATAAAAATAAACTTTTTCAGGAAACAGAAATCGATTCTGAAGCTCTGGCTGGACTGCTGGCTCTTGAATTTGCTCTCAAAGAAAAGCGCCAACATCCAACAAAGGAAGGTTGTATGTACATGGTTGATAGTCTCATATACCTTAATGCTAACTAACTGCACTTTCTGGAGAAGCCTCAATGTGGTCCGTCCTTGTGCAATACGCTTTCCCACTGCCTCCTTCTCCTTCCTCAACCGTCTCCTCTCCCACTGACCCTAAAGAGGTTTTTGGGTTTTTTTTATTCAAACTAAGATCAAGATTATTCCTAGGTGACGTATTTAACTGACACTTGACATGATAAGCTTATTTTAGATATTAATTAGGCATTTCCCTCAGCCCTCCTACAAACAGGTCATGGGCTCAGGGAGATGGAGAAAAATGAGAGAGGAAAAGGAAACCTAGGGGCTATTAACTATGCAATTAAAGCAGCCCAGGCCATAAGAGAGGTTCTCCTCAAAGAGAACCACAACCATAACAAGCAGAAGAGAGATCTTTCTTAATTCTCACCAAATAAGAAGAAATATGGTGATTTCTAACTTTTTATTAAATAGCACAAGACCTCCACGGTGACAGTTAAATGGCCAAGAGAAGGCACTGCTGCGAGCCACTGGGTTAGGGAGAGCCTGCTGGGGTTTGCAATATATGCAGTTCTGCCGTACAAAAAGCAAATCTGAAAAAAAGTTGCCTGTGGATTTTTAAAGAACTAGTGCACATACTCCCATTCATTGACGATAAGACCCTGAGAGTAGTAATCTTTGATTTGCTTAGGGTGGAAGGCTAATAAATCCATGGCATTAGCTACTGAAAGGGAATTTATCTACCATGGTTGGGACCCTGTCCATCAGGCAAAACTGCTCGTTAAGGGCTGTCCTGATGGGGACAGTGTCTCCTTCCACTTGGCCGCTTGAGGCAAGGGCCTTAGGAGTGCCGTGGTGGCCCCAGGACATTAATCTTACCATGATGGGGCTTACTTTTTTCTCCAAGGTTACGAAGACTTCATCTTTCTCATCAACAAACTTATTTTAGCCACAAGTACAATAATACATTTGACATAATTCAAATATCTTTCTCTTAGGAACCCTGCTCAGAAATATTAATATGAGATAATGGGGAAATGCTTCATTTAAAATCTTTTATCTGGTCTATATCCCTTTAAAAGGAGACGTATGGTGCTCACTTAAATATAATAAGCTGCAGTTGGAAAAGCCAACAGAATTTAAGAGTCTCCTTCCTTAAACAAAACAGAGAACAAAGAGGGGGAAAGGACCAAGTAGAGATATTTTCATGAATTTCCATTTGTATATACACAAAAAGTGAATAGACGAATACCAAGAAGTTTCTCTCCCAGCATGCTCAGTTGGTCCACACTGAGACCTCTTTTGGTGACCGAAGAAAACTGCCAACTTAGCACCTCTGAAAGCTGAGCCCATCGTGCAGATGGTGGGTTCAGGAAGAAGGACAGATTCTAGAAAGAAAACACGCAAAAGCTTAGGGTTACCAAAGAACCACCAGTCACAAGCGAGGCACCAAAACATAGACTTGTCCCAAAGTTCACTTCCAGTTTCGGTGGGGGGGGTGTGTGTGTGTGTGTGTGTGTGTGTGTGTGTGTGTGTGTGTGTGTGTGTGTGTGTGTGTGTGTGTTAGTAGATTCTCATTAGTTGCAGGTTCACATTTATGAATTCATCTACTCCCTAAAATTTACTTGGGACTCCAAAATCACTACTCAGGGCACTTTTGCACTCATTCACGGTCATGCGCATGCACAAAGTGGTGAAAAATTTGAGTCACCCAACATGTATGCTTCCAGTTGAGGTCAAACAAAGCGGGACTCTGCCTCCTTGTTTCATCTTTTATACAATACACAAGGCTCCTTTTCCAGGTCTACTTAGGCAGTGGCATTTTATTCTGCATTTTTGTGTTGTTTTGTTGGTGACTTTGTTGTTCAAAATGGCCCCCAAGTGTCGTGTTGAAGGGCTGTTTAATGTTCTTAGTGCAAGAAGGCCGTGATGTACCTTAAGAGGAACATACTTGTGTTAGACAGGCTTTGGTCAGGCACGAGTTACAGTGATGTTGGTCATGAGTTCGATGTTAATGGATCAACAAATATATTAGATAAGGTATCTTTAAACAGACACTCACATAAACAAGGTTTATGTATTAACAGAAAGTTGTAACCAGGGGCTTGGAGAAACCTAATGCCATATTAGTATGTGTTAAATCAGTGTTGGCAGTGACTAAAAGACATAAGTACAGTGAATAATGAAAATCAACTATAATTAATCACACTCTAAAAACGGAGCATGCTTAGCAGATGTATACCTTTTACAGAAATAATAATAAAGGGCCTCTTCCATAATGAAAGTTGTATTAAATCATCTATTGCCTGAGCTTATTCACAGAGGAGGAAAATCCTAATTCTCATATCTAACATATACACATGCTTCACTTTTCCAGAGTTACCCATGATCCTTGGCAATACCACTTGAGTTATGTCACCTGTCCCTCAACATCTGGCCCTTAGGAGCTCTCTGGATATGTAGAAGCTGGAGCACCGGTCTTTAATTACCCCTTAGTATGAAAGCAGACATGTTTTCCATACCCTGGCTTCTGTCACCAGCATGTTGTACCACAGGATGGAGGCCCAACCACTTGGGAGCTGACTGACATTGGAGATCACCACGACAGGCAGAGAAGTCGTCTAAAAGATGATAAAGACCTTGAAATCATCTGAATCACAGAAACATCACCTGCGGACCCCTGTGCAGCCTCAAAACTAAGCTGGGATTATTTATAAACTTGCATATATTTTCTACTTGAAAATTAAAAATGTAAAGTTATGTTCTTTTGTTCACAGTTTCATTTGTTTTTGATATATCTTTCAGTTAAGAAATAAGTCTCAATGCATCATATAAAAACCAACAGGATATCATCTCAACTGCAACACTTAGCTTACAGAATTTGAAGGTTAATTCAATTAGGTAGCTTTGTGAATCATTAAAGCAAGAGTATTAGCTGAAAAAGATCGTTTTTTAGCTAGTAGGTAAATATCTCTAAAACAAAAACTGAGAAATAAAAATACATGTAACAGTTAAAAGTAAAAATAAATCAAGTTTTCTATATCTCGGCCATGTAAGTCTTACCTCAAGGTCAATGACCAAACCAGGCTGGCACAACTGGGTTTCAAAACTAAGGGAGTGAAGCTCTTCAGTAACGACAAGAGGGCCCTTAAAAGAGAAAGGGGGAGAAAAATTAATACTGTATAGTGATTCATTCACAGATCCTGCCACTTCTAATAACCTAATAAGCCCTGCAACAGGCTGCAGAAAGCCTGAGCCCAACCCCCTGCAATTCAGAAGAAGATTCCAATTTTCAATAATCTATCCCAGATTTCGTGATTGTGACTATCTCAGTATTCTCTCAAAGACAAGATTTCTGAAATGATGGTAAGGGCTATAGATTAAGGGAAAGAAATGTGGACAGGGACGTAGCAACTTCTAGTGGGTTTATTTGTAACCTAAGACTTCCTTGGCCCTCAGCCCCCCTGGGCCCACCACAGCCCTGCCTGGCATGGGTCGCACACCTCTGGCACACGGGAGTAGGATGTGCACATGCGTTCCAGGTGTGATTAGCTACTGGAAGGGCTCATTTGCATAAGCCTGGTGGATCATAAAGTGCTTTGGTTTGGGCAGAAATGTTATGGTTTTCAAAGTGTCTTCCTCCATATTATTTCCTGCGAGCATCACACAACTTAGAACCAGAGAGGTACAGCCGCTATTGCTGTTTACAGGAGAGGAAACTCAGTGAGGTCACGAAGATAGGAAAGTGCCAAACCGGGGCCAGACAACACTAAGCCTTTGCACTGCCCAGGCAGGTGCCAGAACCGCTGTCTCACATGACCTCTACTGGCCGTGGTGTGCAAGGGCTGCATGCTTATGCAGCTCAAGGGATGAAAACGCTCCACACCAAAACAACTGCAGACATTTTGGCACTGTGCACAGTTCATTTTGAATGCATCACAGACATAAATCCTCAAGGATCTGGCTCTGAAAAGGAAACTGATAAAAAGAAGATGCCACTGGGTAGGGAAAGCGAAGGCAGGAAAACCCTCTGGCACACTTGGTTTTTGGCATGGCAGTCATAAAACTGGCCTCTAGTTCCAGCTCTGACAGTAATTCTCTGTGCACCCTTAGCTAAATCCTACAAATTTCCTGATTCAATTTATGCACCTATGAAATGTCAGTAACACAGAAACCCACCATACTCACTCCCTTGGGCTGGCTGTGAGGGTCCCATAAATTCATGTGCAAAATCACTTGAAAACCCTGAAGCATGAAATCAGAGTGTTTTTACTGTTACCACAGACATACCAAGTCCCGAACTCATTTGCTGCTCTTCTCTGCTGGGTCTGAAGGCCTCTATGAGATGTCCTGGCCGCCAGGGCACTGAGCCAACCTCACTGAAAGGACCTGCTAATTGGAGACCATTCACAACAGGGGCACACTCTTACCTCGTTAGTTCTGTTGCCAGCATTTTTCTGTTCCTTCAGTTGCTATAAAACAAGAAGCCATCTTAGTAAATGACACAATAATTGTCAAAGCTGCTATTTTCATTTACAAATCAAGCCAAAGTCAGGACTTAGAAAGAATGAGGGATGTGCAATTATTTTAAGAATGCCTAACAAGTAATGAAATGACCCTTGTGTGGATTCATGGGCAGGAGTGCCTTCCCCCAGCAGTCTGATACCATGCGAACACCAGAGTTTAGAAGGATCCCAGAGAATTTCATCCTCCTCCCTTCCCTCCACCCCCAGACAGTCTTCCAGGCTAGGCCTGGCAACTTCCAGGCCCAACTAAAATTGCCCTCAAAAAACACTTCAGTCCTTGAGGCTTCAAAGGAGCAACTCAGGGCCCTGAGAACAGCTGTGGACATGCTCAGACTCCTGAGTTTGGACCGAGGTTCTCACAGGAAGTCTAGCTTCCTGTCTAAGTTTGCTGATTCAGGAGATGGTCGCCAGTGAAAAGGGTACCCTGATCCTCCCAGCAGGCTCCGGCCCAGAGAGAGCACAGGGCTCAGTACAGCTGGCTTCCAGGCGAGGAGGCACCTGGGTATCTGCTGCCTGGTGGAACCGACCCTATTCCTCTGGAGACACGGCGGTAGAGGCAGTGGTCATGCGAGACCACCAGGAAGGAGGATGTGAAAGGGGCTGAGGAGACACTCCTGGGGTCTGCCGCAATTGGGGGTGGGGGAACAGCCAGGACATGGGAGGGATCACAACCTTTGAGAAAATACAAAAATCTAGAGTGAGTGACCCCTGAGGTTGTGGAGGCACCAAGTGCAGATAATTTATGTGTGCACTGGTTTATGGAATATTTTACTGAGATCACTGCATCCCAGGAGAAGTATGTGTGTGAGAGAGGCTGCCGAAAACAGAATGAAGACTCCTGGGATAAGGAAGAGGAACCGATTCCCCAAGCGCTAGTGAACTCGCCAGCCACAAACTCTAGAAAGTCTCCTCCTAGGTTGTGTCCTGCACATCCCCTAGGGCACAAAGCGCCACTTGCTATCCAAAGTCCTAACACACCAGACACAACATAAAAGAAGGGAAAATTGGTCTCCCTACCAGGTGTCGAAATTCTGCTGCCAGACTTCCATTGGTGGACTCCTCCATGTTCATCACTTTTGTATGTGTGCCCAAAATGTTGAACTTTCTGAATCTAAACAATACAGGGTAGAAAGACTTAAAAGGCTTGGAACTATTAAACAAACAAACAAATAAAGAAGATAGTAAAATACAGTACAAAGTACTTTACATACCCTTTTACTGTACTTCTCTCATTCACATCTCTGCAAAAAAAAAAAATATATATATATATAAAATCATACGTGTATTTAAATTTTGAAATGAGCTTTAACAAAAATATAAAAGTATATGTATAAATAAAAGATCAATAAAAAAATAAATCTACACCTGTAGGTTTCTGCCCTTTTATTCACTCACTCACTCACTCCCAACACCAGCTCTGCCAGGTATTACTGGGTAATCAATTATCTGGGCCTCACATTTCTCATCTGTACAACACGCTAACATTACCAACCACACAGGATATTGTGAGGAGTAAACTAGCTAATAGGTAAAAAGAGAACATAGCACAGCCCCAATAAATGTAAGCTTCAGTTATCATTATTTATTGAGCAATTACTTTGTACAAGGCACCGTGCTAAGAGCTGGAGATTCAGCAGAGAGCATTGCTCTGCCGTGAAGGAACTCCAAAGATCTTCCAGTGTGACAGCTTAACCCTTATTTTTATTCTCTATTATCCTTGATGCGTTCATGAAAGTACCTGAATAGTTAACTATTTGGGAAAACTGTCAAGCTTAAGTTTTAAATTTGAGGTTAAAGCTTGAGATACTTGCATCTTATGTAAGTAAATTCAGTGATCACCATGTCATGTTCTGAACACATAAAGTATCTGTTAGGAATCGGCGAAGATTACAAATCATTAGCACACTCGTGGTGAAACGAGTTAGCTTCCTTTCATATCTCAACGAGAAGTTCAACGCTTTTGAGAATGACAATCACCATTAGCTGTGACAGTGACCAATTTTCCGTTGTTTGAAAAAAAAAAAGAATTTAAAATAAAAAGAAAAGTATGATACAAATCTGCCTTGTCAAAGCTAAGAAGAAAATTCAGAGCTGGAACAGTCAGAAAAGACAAAAGAGCACAGTCTAAAAGAGAGACTGAGCTAAAGGAGAGTGTGGTAAACTGCGACGGCCATATCTTTGAGGCTCTTCCCTTCAAGAGAGAGAATGTATTTCCCTGTACCCTGAATCTCAGCTGGTTTTGACTTGCTTTTACCAATGGGATGAATGGGAGTGATGCTGTACTAAGTTCCAAGTCTAGCCCCAACAGGTCTAGCACACTGCTGCTCTTACCTACTTGCAACATATCACCATGTGAAAACGCCCAGGTCAGTCTCTTTGAGAGGCTCTTGGAGAACAGCCCAGTTATCCCAGCTGAGACCTCAGGCATGTAACCAGACCACCCAGCAACAACCAAGCTAGCCCAGACCGGAAGAACCACCTATAGCCCACAAAAGAGAAATAATAAGTTTTTGAGTTTTAAACCACTAAGTTTTGGGATAATTTGTTATGCAGCAAAAGCTAACTGATACACACACAAACCAAAGATGATGGCAGGAAAGATAAAAGCATGGGCTGTGCTATAAGGAAGAATATTGTTACAAGAATGGAAAGAGACAAAAAGCCAGAGAAAAATTATTTGGATTATCATAAATGGTTTTGAAGCTTGCAAAACCAGTATGTTATACAAATGCATTAAATATGCCAAGGAGTGTGAAAGCCACATTGTTCCTTAATGTAAGTGGCTAAGTCAGTACTAAGCGTCCAGGGTCTAAGGCAGCGGTTCTCAACCTGTGGGTCGCGACCCCTTTGGGGGTCGAACAACCCTTTCACAGGGGTCGCCTAAGACCATCAGAAAGCAAAAAGATATTTACATTATGATTCATAACAGTAGCAAAATTACAGTTATAGAGTAGCAATGAAAATAATTTTATGTTTGGAGGTCACCACAACATGAGGAACTGTATTAAGGGGTCGCGGCATTAGGAAGGTTGAGAACCGCTGCTCTAAGGGCAAAATGGGATGGGCCGGCTCCATTTAGACCCCTGTGCGAGATCCTGCCTGTTCCTGGGTCCCTACTGCCCAGAAGAGACAAGGAAGGCTCCAGGAGGCTCAACACAGACATCCCCACACCACCAAATACTGCCAGCTTCACTCCAGAAACAATCCCACAACTGGCTTCAGAATCACTGCACCCTGGAGGGTCTTTAGCCCTGTGTGTGACCAAGTGTCCCTTCTCCGGGGCTGGCTTAGGAGGAGGGCAGTGCACCATGTCTGGCTGCTTCAAGGCTTGATCATTATAAGCTCATACACATAAAATACACTCATTCTTTTGCTCATTGATAGTCTAATAAGGCACAGATATGCTGATACCAGCTCAAGGGGGAAGTTCCCAATATCCAGAACATGAGCTATTAATTTAAATCTGCTGGGATTGGGGTAACCAGTTAGCTCAGTTGGTTAGAGTATCATGCTGAAAACATCAAGATTGCCAGTTCGATGCCCACAGGGGCCCCTGTGAACTGCACCTTCCTTGAAAAAGAGTCAACTATGCGATGGTAGCATGAAAGAATATGTAACCAATGACCATGGCTATTCCCCAATAAAAAAAATTTTAAAAATCTAGTGTATAAGTCTGTGTTTGGTTCACAAAACCAGCATTTTAATAGTACACATATCTTAGATAATATTAAATATATCTTACTTATCAAATAAGACTTTGACTTTCAAGTTATAATTCAGCTCTTGCAATTTCACCAATAGTCTGGAAAGAAAAATAAAAGTCACTGTTACTTTAAAAAATTATCTATTACAATTTATCATGCCAGTGCTCTATTGACAAACATTTCAATCCCATCCTCTCTCTTGTTTTGGCTCATCACAAACAATAGAATTCACATCCTTACATGTCTGCTTGGGTTTGTTTTTTTTTAAGTGTATTTATAGGAGAAATTCCTAGCTGTGTAGTTGCCGGGGCAAAACTGTAACATTAAATTCTAGCAGAGCAGCGCCGATATTACATTCCCACCCACCCGTGTTAGTGAGGGTACCTACTTCCCTACATAGCCTCGCCAACATTGGCTTTTACCAAATTTTCTATTTTTGGCCAATGATACGGGTAAAAAATAGCACACATTACATTTATTAAAATTTGTATCTAATGTTTGTCCTGTCGGGAAAACATAAAAACTATCACCCATAATCAGGGATGAGGGTCCACATGTATAATCACTCCAGGGTGGCGTGGAAAGATGGAATGAAGGAGCACTGGGCTCCGGCGTGGCCCTGCTCTGCTGAGCTGGAGGCCTTAGAAAAAGCCCCTCTAGTCTCTGGTCTGCTCCGTTCAGTGGAGCAGGTGGATGGGATGAGATTTCTAGTGCCCCTTCCAGCTACGAGTTCTAGGGCCCCACAGGTGCTTGAGCGTGGTGCTGTAACACCACACCCGGCAGCCAGGAAGAAGCACCTGTGCACCTTACTGAGCAGCACCTCACCAAATGGGACTAGGGACAGTGCTGAACGCAAGTGCAGCTCTTCAGAGTCCAGGGGCTCATCCGCAGAGGAACAGCTAAATGAATGTAGCCATTTGACAGAAGAAAATAAAGCCATACGTTCTCACATGGGAACATTTCCATAGTGTATTATCAAGGAGAAAAATAGGCTGCAAAACAATATCTCTAGAACCCTGGTTTTTAAACATGAAATACTATATGTCATATAAATTTGTGTTAATGTGTGTTCCTATGCTTAAAATATAACATATACGGACATACAGGTATATATGCACAAACATATATAAAAACGTATTTATATGTTTGTGTAGACATGGACAAAATTCTGGGAGGACTGACATTTACAACTGGAAAAAAATAAGGTGTGTTCGTGCATACACATATACATCTGTTTTACTTCTATTTTGAATATAGAAGAGACTCAGATATTCGAAATAAAAACTCATGTTAAAATGCCCACTGTAAAATGATTCCCTTTAAAGCACGTAACAGTGTTGTGAAGGTGCAAACAATGTAATAGGAGGCATAGGTGGTTACCACTTTTCCTTATTACCTCAGCTTCACAGTGAATTGTACGCCAGTCTTCAAGACCAGTGGCCTCTGAGGATGAGTTGGCATGCAAGGCTGTCTTTCCACCACGAATGAGCTATAAAAACCCAGCAAAGTGTAGCTAAATTAGCATTTCCATTAAGTTTGAGGCAGTAAAAAGTTATTTTCCCTTAAGAGGAAAGGGGGACACACTTAAAAATAGTTTGAAAGGTTCTAATAAGTGGGATGAATAAAGCTAGGTTTTTCTAGGTTTTCAGTAAAGAAATCCCAAAATCTAATTTGCACCCAACAAAAACAGAGTAATTATAGTGACCTGTGATACTCTTCCACAATGAAAACCCTGAATTAGATGATGGTCATTTACAAATCTGCATCAAGAATCAAATTTGTTCTCTAAAACCCAAGTAAATGCCCTTGATTATTTCAAAATCCAACACCTAGGCATTCCTATTTGGACATTAACCACAGGGAACCAAAGACATTTTTATTATGTCAAGTTAGCAAAAAAAAAACTTTGCCATATGAGCTCCACTCTACTCAGTGCCATTTATTTATCGACTATGTACATTTGGAACCCTACCATGGTCAAGGCACTGTGCACGGGCCTGGTGGGGGACAAAGGATGACAAAGGCATATCTCTGTCTTCCAAAACATTCCAACGTACAACAAAAATAACAGAAATAGGTAGGCAGCTTTATAATAAAATCCAGAATGGGAGAGGAATAAAGGATGAACTGAGCAGATCTGGAAAGGGGATAATATCTGATTGGGAACTCTAGAAGATTTCATGATGAGATATAAGATGAAACTTTCAGGATGATACAGTTTTGAAAACAGGAACAAGAGAAAGAGGCTCTGAGGTGGAGGAAATACTGTTAGGAGAGGCCTGGAGAAGCAAATGTATAGGGTGGGCGTGAGGTCAAGTCTGCCTGGATATGGGGGGGCATGTGTGGAAGCTACTTCTGCAAAAGTCAGCTAAGGGCCAGGCTGTGGGTGCGGGACATGAGTGTCCAGCTGAGGGGCGACACTTGTTTTTTTTGTTGTTGTTTTTTTTAGCTGAGCCATCCTGCCACCTGTTGGTAGTTCAGTAGCAGCTCAGCTCGGTCCGAGAATCGAACCGACGACCCTGTTGCTCAGAGCTCGCACTCTTGAGCAAGCTCTTAACCAACTGAGCCACTCGGCCGGCCCTGAGGGGCTCCATTTGGATTAGAAAGTGACAAAGAACCAGACGGAACTCTCCTCTGGAAAGCGTCAGGTGACAGGGACTAGGTGGGAAGGGGCTGAGAAGGGGATCACTTGGGAGGCTACTTAAGTAACAGTTCAGGAGACCAGATTTGAAATCCTGAAATGAGATGAGGCCATGGAAGGAGAGGACAAACATCATGAGCTTAGAAGCCACAGGTCTCAGTGCAGATTAGCTACGGAGATAGGAGGAGTAAAATTTACTAGGACCCAGTCTAAGTGGCCACAAGAATGAAGGGCTATTGGCATAAACAAGGAATTCAGGAAGAGCTGACTGGCCATAAAAAAGTTTCTAGAACCCGTTAAACCCTTCTAAATTATTTGAATTATCATAACATTTTCCTCTGGGTAAAATATTGCAGGAGGTGCCAATAAATCTCCCTCGAGTTACCTCTGAATGAGCTGCTGGAAGAGGCTGAAAGTGCGGTCCCATAAGGCTTGTTTGTTTTTCGTGATGGGGTCATGATCATAGGTGAATTTCTGTTCCAATTCCTCAAGCTTTTTAAGCTGCTGACGAACCTGCTGTAGGCTCTCTGCAACTATGGTGAACCTGGGAAGGTACAAGACACAGGGGTCTCAATCAGAAACAGTCCCAAAGCAGCCTGGGACCAACAAGTGATTTTCACAGGCAACACAAGCCATTATCTATACGGCTGCACTCCTCACTGCAAGGAGAAATGAAGAACAAGGCTCATCTTGGTGTTAAGAAGTTGTTATTCGGGGAGAAAAAAACTAATATGTGCTGCTGATTACAGCCCAGATAAAAAACCTCTGCATCCTACTGAGAGGAAGCTAAGGAGAGATGGGTAGGGGCAGTGGCTTCTAGGGAATCTGTGACTTCAACTGATCTGTAAGATAATTGGGATTTAAAGGAACAGGGCAAAGAGGAGGGTAGAGGCAGGGAACACAGCAAGGCGGGTGCCATCAGAGGTGATACAGGAGGCAGTGAAGAGCCCTTTTCGATTTTATATCAGAACAGCACGTAGTGAGAGAGCAGCCTGGACACTGTGGAAGCAACACAGAGGGGCTGCCGGGCCTGAATTAGGAGGACAGGAGGAAACAACAGTTACTGTTTCGCTGAGCTGAAAGAAGGCAATATGCTCAATCCAGACACTCAGAATATAAACCAAGGGGGAAACCTAGCAATTGCTTTCAGGTCCCTCCTTTCTCACAGTAAACTGCCAATGGTGATGTAGCTTCTAAACCAAATCAGGCTGTGAAAGTGTCATTTTATTTGCCTGGAGTAATGACAGGAAAAAAAAAATCTTCTCCCCAATGAAAGACATCTCCTTCACTTTGCGGTTTCACTCCTTGAATCCAGTTCGAATGAGAGAGAGAACAGCCCTCAGCCATGAAATGAGAAGGCAGGATGACGGGGGGTGGACGAGTTCCTGAGAAATTCGAACCCAGCGCTTCCGGACTTTGTTGGATCATGGCACACCAGAAAATGACAACACCTGTACAGCACAGTGGCAGGTGGTGGAGGCATCTGCGCCTCTGGAATAGGCTCCTTGTGGCCTAAAGCGACCACTTAGGGAGCTCCAGATAACCCGGAGCTTCCCTGGGCCCTGGAGGGCTCCAGGGACAGTGTCCCCCAAGGCACATGGGGCACCCTGGGCTGGGAAGCTCTGTTCTGACTCATAAGACATAAGGGATAAGGGCAGGCAGCTCACAGTATTAAAAAAAAACAGCTGAATACGAATTGTGAATTTTTTTTAAAAAGCAGCAATTCAGAAAATCATTTACGAGACCTCTTTTCCTTGGATGCTTGGGAACTGTTCCAGGCCACCATTCCCTCATATCCCTCTGATTCCACCTCTTCCATCCTCTCTGTTTAGTTCGAGTTCAGCTCTCATTGTGTTCCGCCCCCCCTGGACTACACTGATACGCTCATAGTAGCCCAACAGGTCTTTCTATCTCTATTCTATCCTCCGGACTGTTGCCAGAGTGCCCTTTCTAAATGAAAAATCAGAGAAATAGCCTCCACCTAGAGAAAAGGCCTGCCTAGCTCACCAGTGCCCAGTGAATAAAGTCCTGTTCCCAGCATGGTGTGAGAATCTCCACGACCAGGCTCCAGCCTCTCGCCATCTCCACTTTCCTCCCGCCCTCCCAGGCACCCCATTCTTCAGCCATTCAATATGCAGAACTGCAGGCCCCGTTTGTGCCCCCCTCGCCTACCCTGTGTGCCTCGATCTGTGCTGATCTCCTCCTGGTCTACATGAAGTGCTCCTATTCACTCTCAAGAGTCAGCGCACGTCCACTTCCTCCTGGGAACCTTTCCTGGTGGCTCCTGCCTGCTTTTGTCCTCCACGAGATGCTGGACCATGTCAAACTCCAAACCAAAGTTTTGACAGGTCCACTAACGCACCTCGACTGTGCGCTGGGTTTATATGGTTAGCCAGCCAGCTGCCAATTTTCCGCTTTCAAGAGCCTTACCAGTTCTGCAGCTGATCGAGGCAAGCGTTGGGGGGTCCCCCAATACAGGCGCTCTGCTGTCTGCGCTTCCATTCCACCAGTTCATCATTAATCAGGGCTTTCTGGGTAAGTTCGGTGACATTCAACAACTCTATTGTTTTGTGGACTACTTCCTAAAGGGAGAGAAAGAAACAAAGTGAAATAAATTCGCCTTTAATCACTGATTTTTACAAGATTTCTTTTTTTAAGCAAATATTCTTTCATCTCAACTAGGGCTCTAAGCCAAGTGGTTATAAAAAAATGTTTCCTCTATTTTAAACTTCAAGTTCATTATTTATAGTCTGTGACAAAAGCAACATGTTTTTTCTGGAAAGTGAATCACTACCTTTCTCTTATTGTCAAGCATTAAAAACATCTTCTGGAGTAACATCTGTTCCTGTTTCTGATCATTCTTTGCCACACCATTGGCTTCATGTTCTGTGAATTGGGAGACAGACAGCAGATAATATAAATGTAAAAGACAACAAGACCAACTAAGCCAAGATTCACATACATTTAGGAGAAATATGATCCAAATGCTATCTGGTGATAAGTCAAAGTTGAGTCTTCTTCAATCTTTAATGAACAAAACAAGAAAAACGTCCGAAGTATAAAAACTGGACACACTGAAACAAAGTATTTGTTTTCAACAACCCACGTACATAAGAAACAGTACTGTCTGGTTCTTAATTTATTATAAAATATGACCTAAATTAATATAAATGACAAAATTAAACACTTCATATAAAAAGCAAAGCCCATCTGTAGCTTTAAAAGGGAAGTAGACAATTAGGAAATCATAGTAGTTGAGGTTACTTTCTCTCATACTTTTTACCCAAATCTTACTAATAATCTCTCTAATATTAACCATACTATCCGCCTAATGATTACTAGGGTTACAGCACTACCCAATATGTTCTACAGTATGTACACGCCAGGGTTATTTTCAGCTACCATAATCATTAAAAAAGAGTAATAACAAAATAAGAGCAAAACTGCTTTAAAACATGAAAAAAACGTTGAACAGGGGAACTCCACACACCAATCAGTCTGTCAATCAGTGGACAAGGCACAATAAATAAAGTGGATAACACACAACTAGTAGTTATCATCTAGGGGTGATTTTGCCCCTCAGGGAACACTTGGCAATGTCTGGAGGCTGTTTCAGTCAGCACCACTGGGGCTGAGGGGATAATTCTACTGCCACCTGGTGGGTAGAAGTCAGAGATGCTGCTAAACACCCTACAATGCACAGGACTGCCCCACAGAGCAAAGAATTATCTGGCCCAAACTGTCAACAGTACTGAGGTTAAGAAATCCTGGCCTGGGTCATCAAGAAGCCAAGACTAGCAAGTCAGAGTCATAAAATATTTGGCAAATATGAAAGGAGCATTCACCTTTGTTATCTAGTGTAGACAGAAAAAAATGACAGTCAGTGAGCACTGCTGCAAATGTTAACTCTTACCTCTGTTCTGCGAGGTTTTACATTTAAAGTCATATTCATCCTGTAAATCTTCTAGGGTCTTGATTTCATGCTCTATACTCTACAAATAAAGACATAACCAGGTTTTCTACTGATCAGCTTCCAAAGATTTGAGGAAAGAGATTATGCTTCTGTAGGACCCAGAAAACCATGGTAACAATCCTGCTCCCTCCAAGATGAACTAGACTTGCAAAATTCTAATCACACACATTAAACAATTTCTATATCATTAATATGTACATAATAACTTTTCTTACAAAAGAAAATATATGGCTATTTCCAGACTGGGTCTACTGGTTTCTACTTTAATGAAGTGTTTCCCTAGGAGGCTGCAACCATAAAGTTGCTTCAAAGAATCGAGTTTGGAAAGACACTGTCTAAAGCACCAAGTCAAGGCCAAGCTGGTGTGACTCAGAGACCCACAAGATATCGCCCCCCTCGGCTGGGAGGACTTTACCACAGATACAGGCCAGGTGTAAAGCAGGCTTCCTCATCTCGACCTCCCAAACAGCCCTAACAATGGAGAGGAATGGTCACAGGCAACCAAGGGCGCCGAAGCAGCCTTCTGTTTCCATAAATTGTCTTGCAAGTTTATCTCAAAATTGTTGTGGATGTTTTATTCTAATCAGAAATGTATCAGAACTACTTTCGACAAAATGTTTTTGCTCCCCTTCCAAGTCTTAGGATAAAACAGGTACTTGAGGAGGATGGGCCGTGTTTATCCTGGGTCAATGTGTAACCCCAGGAACATCCCAATTTGAGAGACACAGACATAAAGGACTATTTAGAGCAG